TCCAGCGCATGTTGATATACCAGGAAATGAAAAAGCTGATAAAATGGCTAAAGAGTCACTTAATCTGAATACTCCTACTATTTCAGTTTCACTAAGCAGGATGGAGGGGGAAAGTAAATTGGAAATGGCAAGGGAATTGGAATGACTGTAAAACAGGAAGACATTTTTATAATATACAAAACAGGGTAAGTCAAAGCAAAATGATACTGAACTTAAGTAGAGAAGATCAGGTCATTTTAACTAGACTAAGGATGGGTCATACAAAACTTAACTCTACACCTCATATAATAGGAAAACACAGTACTGGATTATGTGAAACATGCCAAGTAAAGGAAACAGTTGATCATGTGTTGTTACTCTGTCCGAGGTATGAACAGGAAAGGAATGAACTACAAAGAGAATTACAGAACTTAGGATGCAATGAATTTTCAATCTGCAACATATTAAACACAAAACAAAGATGTGGTAAAATAATAAAGACAATTTTAAAATTCATTAGGAATAGTGGACTTAAGAATAGCATATAGAATTCATAATATATACCTAGACTGAAATCACTTCACACTCCAGCACAGGAGGTGGCGGTATGCACCTTAAAAGCTGATATGCGACCCACCAATAAATCCACAGAAGATGAAGAAGAAGAAGAGGACAAGACTTTTATTTTGGTGTAGTGCTATGACGTCATAAGACTGCGCCTCCTGTATCTGTTGTGATTCGGCTGAAGAAAGGTTTGTGTTTTTAAGCATTTAAAGTGTTTAAATCGATGCAGCCAGTTCAGGCAAAAAAAAAAAAGGCTTCATTATTGATGAATTAAACATCGGGATACTTTATCTACCATTAATAAACGTTATTTTTATGAGTAAGCAGAGTAACAGGAAGGTGTATCTCTATGCATTTCACACTATGCTTAATTTTAGCTAAAAAACTGGGTTTATCTGAACATGATAATGCATCTACTGCTTCAATTTCTACACTTTATTAAAGGGGTCATATGATGTTGCTAAAAAGAACATTATGTTGTGTATTTGGTGTAATGAAATGTGTTTATGCGGTTTAAGGTTCAAAAAACACATTATTTTCCACATACTGTACATTATTGTTTCTCCTCTATGCCCCGCCTTTCTGAAACG